TCTTTTTCTCTCTCTTTCTCTCCCTCTCTCTCTCTCTCTCTCTCTCTCTCTCTCTCTCTCTCTCTCTCTCTCTCTCTCTGTGAAAATAAATATCATTGGACAAATAAATATCATTATCAATATCTGTTTTACCTCTGTTATTTTTATTTTTGGCAATATCATTTAATGTTAAAAAAGCAAATTTGCATGTTGTCCAATAAAAAGCGTGTGTGATATTTGTTCATATCTTGCGACTCTCAAATATCTGATGTTTATTCTATGTGGCTCTTATGTTAAGCAAGTTTGGCCAGCCCTGGGGTAAAGCAACATGTTACACATCAAAAATTCCATTAGCAAAATGGAGCTGTCATGCAACATTGCCCTTGGCTGATGTTGTGTCCGCTGACTGCCACCAGGGACAGCGAATACCCCAGAGCTTGACTCTGGAAGAACAATGGGGCCTAGGCTCCTGGTCCCTCCACTGGGGGACCAATGGGACCGTGGCGGGAGATTTAAACCCACCATTGTTTGTCATGTGTCCTGCAGCCTTTGGGTTAAATGGACTATACAGTTGTTCTTGGTATTGATCTCTCATGTCCGTCATTTTTTATTTAGAGTAATCAGATAAAGGCTAAGGCTGCACTTAGACATGGCAAGAAACAAGTCTGTCTACAGGGGGCACCAACACAGCTTGATTTTATGTCTAAGTGCTTGCACCAGCCCTCCCCTTGTGCACAGAGGGTGACTGAAAACTCCCTGGCTTATGAAGCTTCCGGTCAGGTTCCAGTTTGCCGGGACACCTCAGTGCGGGTGCCAGCAAATCAGAGTTTTGTCCCACCATGAACCAGGGTTCTAAATCATGGTCTAATGGCTAGTTTAAAATGCCCATTTGTGAAGGGAAGCAGACAGTAGTTTGCCAAGGCACCTGCATTCAGATGTCACAGCAAATTGGATCTTGACGAATGACTTCCCAATATAGTTTTCAATTGAACTTCTTTTTTTTTTCATTTTCAATCACACTTCATGCCACTGCACATGACAATAGGCTGTACAAGTGGAGTGTGTGGCACACAGCAACAAGTTGTGTTCATGCCCCCATCCTGGACAAACCTCTCTCTCTGTCATGACATCTGCATGTGGCCTGAGTCAAAACAAAACTAATAATGTTCTAAGAATTATGCATAACCGAAATGGGTTTTGGGAGGGGGGTTCCTTTCGGAAAGTGAATGATGTGAATAAAGAGTTCAGGATGGACTTTGGAATTTTGTCTTGTCATCCCCCACAGGATATTCCTGAAGAAATACATAAGAATTTGGTAGAATTGCTTCCGCAGCCCCGCAAAGTGCCCAAGAGGTTAAATGAATACACACAAGAGGAAATCAATGCTTTTCCAAGGGTCTGGACTCCGTAAGTGTCTAATAGTCCTTGAAAGGGGTGTTTATGACTGCTTATGTGATAGATTAGCTTTTAAAGAATTCATTATCCTTTAAGTAGATAAGACGTGCTTTAAGTATGCCTTTGAGGCAGACAGTGCTTTTGAATGTGGAGGTACGTTCCTTCATGTTTTGGATTATTTTAAGCAATTGATTTCTGTTACCCTTTTTTCTTATTTTTTTTTTTTAAATGTTCTGTGTATCTGGAGTAAATAAAAGAACTGGGTGATCTTAAAGCTGGTTCAAGAAATAATGGGTACACAAACAAAATCAAATAATCTCTTCACCCTCTGGGGTGCAATTTTCAGAACAGTCATCAGTAAACACGATTGCATTCTCTGTAAAAGCAAACACAGTGGCATGATTTTGTGTGGAGTATCTTTGATAGGGAAAAAAGCAGGCTTACCAGGGTTAGGTTACAGTCCTGAAAATCCTCATTGGTAAGGCATTCCATTGGAGACCTGAATATAAAACACAAAGAGGAGGAGGCACAGATCTGATTAAATTTCCCTTACCTAATCAGGCTGGCATCTTGAAACAGTTGCTCACATCAATATTCACGTCAGAGGTGCCTCTTAAGGGCAGCTAAGTTGATGCCGCCCATACAGAGCACACAGGCTTTGGTGAAATAAGGATGTTTTCCACGTTGTCTCACTGTCACTGTAATTGTTGCTTTACGTTGCCGCAGGCAGGTTTTTTACTAAGAGGCAGTGTTTATAAAAGTGATCATGGAAGTCGGGATCAGCAGTCGATATTGGCAATACACCCCCAACATGGTTCCGCCCATATCTGAAGATAAGGGCAGCTAAGTTGATGCCGCTCATACAGAGCACACAGGCTTTGGTGAAATAAGGATATTTTCTGCGTTGTTTCACTGTCACTGTAATTGTTGCTTTAGTTGCCGCAGGCAGGTTTTTTACTAAGAGACAGTGTTTATAAAAGTGATCATGGAAGTCAGGATCAGCAGTCGATATTGGCAATACACCTCCAACATGGTTCCGCCCATATCTGAAGTCCATCTGAGGAGCAAATGGCATGCTCTCCAGACTTGAAACATTCCTTGGCCATTCACCAGTATAGTATGCATGTATCCATGCCTTTTCATGATACTGAAGATAATTGTGTACTGTAATTACTTAGAACAAAGTTTGAGCCCAGTGTTCCGCTACTTCAGACCAACCCCGGCTACCCACCAGCAATGCTCCCTCTAAGCCTTTGAGTCTTGTGAGCACAAATTCTGCTTTGTGAGCTGCTGGTATTAAAGTTGTGAGCAGGCAGTTTGGCTACTGCATAAATTGGTTTGTTCTGGAGCCATCCTTCCTGAGCTAAGACAAAAATGTGTGAGCCGGTGGCTAAAAAACTGAGCTAGCGCACACTAACTCAGCTTAGAGGGAACACTGCCCACCAGTTGTAGCTAGAATACAGGAAAACTCAGTGCATTAGTATCTCCTGGATCAGATAGAAAGAGGGACGTAATGAAACTGTCTAGGATTTATTTATTTATTTTATTAGATTTTTATCCCCCCAGAATGGGGGAGAGAAAGTCCTCAGAGCTGGAATCAGCTCAGTTTTGACCTTATTATTGAAGGTCCTTCCTTCCTTCCTTCCTTCCTTCCTTCCTTCCTTCCTTCCTTGCTTGCTTGCTTGCTTGCTTGCTTGCTTGCTTGCTTGCTTGCTTGCAAACGGAGCTATCCAGGCTGCTGATCATGGAGTAATTATGAAGGGATCAAAATTCTGTGATGGTCCAAGTGCTTCCATTCCCTGAAGCACTTTGTGTTTCAATCAGCTGATGTAACATAGTGACCAAGACAACCCAGAGTTTGCTACAGCCGTGAGCTCACTGGGTGGCCTTGAACAAAATACAGTTATTTCAACACACATATCCCATATTTAAGAAAGGAATTATAATGAAGTAGTACCTTACAGGGTTGTTTACTGAGTGGGAGTGTGAGAAACAATTTTTTGTGCTCAAAAAGTGCTCTACACACATACATACACATTCAGTTTTGCATAAATGTAGGTAGTATTGGATAACTTGGTCTAATTCACATTTTGTGTGTGTGTGTATATAATTTTTTTACTTATTGGGTTTTTCATAATATGTAGTTAGGAGGCAAGGAAGCAGGAAACCCATCTGATTACCGATGCTTATTGGACTGCTCATCAGGTGTCCCAAGGTTTGGGGTTTCAATCCAAAGATTAAATCTGATGGGGAAGGGACAGGATTCAGTTGTGAAGTCTGCCCTACTAGGATTTTACAATCATCCCTAGAAATTACCAGTATATAGCTATTAGTTGCAGTCTTTTTGACTTGCCTTGAAAATGTGTTTTGCTTTAACATTGCTTAAACCTCAAAAGGAATTTGGGGAAATCAAAAGAGCTGTTCTTCCTTCTACTGAGAAATGGTGGGAAAGCACAAAATTTCCTCTCACATAAGCAAGATGAAGCGATTACAGCACAAAATACCCTGCACGCAAGAATCCTGAGTGAAGAAAGAATAGTTTGGGAAATATCTGGATACAAAACTGGATATGAGTTATCCAGCCAGATTGATACCGATCTTGCCAAACTGTTTCATTATTCAGAAAAGTAAGGCAGAGGGTGTTTTAATAAAACCCTTGTTAAATTTGGGCCTTTGCAATGTTAGGCTGTGAAACTGACATCTATTATCATCCCAATTACAAGGAGGTTACAGGAAGCCATCTGATTTAACGTAGAGAGATGCAGTGTGGTTATTACGTGCAAAAATTGTACTTAGCAGGAGAGCTTATAATTTAGGTAGTGCATTAAAGGTGTCTGTCTTCAGTTGTAAATATTAGGCACCGTTTCAGGTGGAAAATTACAGGCCCCTTCCGCTCCAGCTGTCTTGAGGAAAGGCAAGAACCAAATAACCCACCCCAGGGTAAATCATGCGTCAGAAGACGCTTCTGTGGGACTGGCCCCACTTACTTTGCTTCTTCAGAGAGCGAATGTGCACTTCCCCCAACCTCCTGAGAGCATGGCGCGGGCGTACCACGAACCGCACTCGTACTCGTTGAAAGGGTTGCGCACACGCCCGTCGTAACGGGGGGGGGGCAGTAGTTTGTTGTAGTGATCAGGAGTGAGTTTGGGTTAGGATCAGTGTTCCCTCTAAGGTGAGTTAGTGTGCGCTAGCTCACAGTTTTTTAGCGTCCAGCTCACAGATTTTTGTCTTAGCTCAGAAAGGATGGCTCCAGAGCAGACTGATTTATGCAGCAGCCAAATCGCTCACTCACAACTTTAATGCCAGTAGCTCACCAAGTAGAATTTTTGCTCACAAGACTCCACAGTTTAGGATTACGGACTCTAATCTGGGAGAACTGGGTTTGATTCCCTACATGCAGCTACTGATGTGACCTTGGGTCAGTCTCAAGTTCTCTCAGAGCTGTTTTCTCAAGAGCCTTCCTTGAAAGTGCTCTCTCAGCCGCACCTACCTCACAGGGTGTCTGACATTTTGGTTCCGTTCACATGGCAGGCTTCGACTCGACAGGTGGTTTTCTGCTAGCTTCTGTTCTATCTCCAGGGGGGGAGGGAGGCAGTGATACAGCCTACAGTGCTGATGTAAGAATGTATTGAAAGGAGCATTTGAAATCAGCTGCATGAGTACTAGGTAGTATTACTAGGGAATGCATGAACGTTTTCAAACTCTCCTGTAGCCCATGTTAGTGTGTGTCATTTGGCAAAAGGCTGACATGCCTTCTGTCAGTCACTTCAATATAAGCAGTTCTGATTAATGGCATACCCTATCCTTGTCCTCACCCAGTGCTGCAGGACCATCTTTAGCAGCAAGATAATAAGGTCCGTTGATTATTTTTTTTAATTGCCCCTTCTGTCTCCCAAAATTGGAACAGGAGCAATCATTGAGGTAGCCTACTGCAATCATTTGGTTGTTATACTTGAGATACAAAAGTGTTTTTGTGGATTTATGGGAATACCCTCCTGGTGTGAGCCTGTGAGTTTCTGAGCAGTTTCTAAAAGAGAAGCCTCTTTGATTAGAAGTTAGCTTAAATGGGAGGCTGTCCCAGTACTATAGAAACGACTATCTCCTTGCGGCAGACATCACTCGCTTGCTGTGAGGATTTTAGGAAATGGAGGTTATATTCACTCAAAAGAAGGAAAGATTAAAAAGTAAGGAAGCTAAGATTTATGTTGGTGTGTGTGTTTGCATTTCACAAACATGTTTAAAATGGATTAGGGGGTATGTGTTACTTGAGATGCTAAAAACTGCAATTGCAGTATTGGTTGTTACGAAGAACAAAAAAGGTGCTGAGAATTAGCTACTTTTTTGTTCATCTTAAAGGTCCTGTTTGACACTAAAGGTCTGGATATGTGTTTTAGCCCACCTGGTCAAGATACAGCAATATTTTATATTTTCCTCTTTTCACCGTGAATAGAGATGTTGCATCAGACAATTGAAATGAAAGCTTTTTTACTTTTTTACTTCATTCCTGGACATGGAAAGGGCAGAAAGTAAATTAAGATGAAGGTTTTTAAAAACTTGAATTTTAAATAAAGCTACTAAATTTTGTATCCTGTCCGTTGAACCTAAACTGGTTTGAGCCACTGAATAAGCCTTCCTTAATCCTCAAGCATGCTTATGAATGCTGCAGTTAATAAACTTCTCAACAAATGTTGCATTTGGAAATTCTGTATTCCAGGATTACTTTCCTGAACCAATAGTAGTCTGTACAGTGGAGAGAAGTAAAGAGGCACTGAACTCCTCTGTTGCTGGAGCTGTGTACTCCAGGGGGTACAAAATTACTAAATGCTTTGCTTGCAAGCTGTGGCAACCTGAATAGAACTTATTTTTCCCCTAGAGGAATGCTTACGCAAAGAGGTACTTGAAAAGAGGTACTTGCTTTCCTTTGGAGATGAAGGTTTTGCCCAGTGGCAAAGAGCCAGACTGACAGAACAGTATTCTAATATGTTGTCTTAAAAAAAATCCTGAAAGGTCAG